TGGTAATTGAATAAGATTACGTCTATAAATAGGATTTAATTCTTTTGTTTTCGGATGTCCAATATGTGTGCTTTGAGCGATCGTTGTGGATTTTCTTTTTTTTTTTGTGATCATGGATATGTTAATGAGAGTAAATCTGTCTGTCTGTCTGTTACTCTCTCTCTCTCTCTCTCTCTCTCTCTCTCTCTCTCTCTCTCTCTCTCTCTCTCTCTCTCTCTCTCTCTCAACACACACACACACACACACACGCACATACACTCTGTGTGTGTGTGTGTGTGTCTTTCTCTCTCTCAACACACACACACACGGGTGGAATTCATGTCGAACAAATTGCAAGTAGAACAACGGTAAATGCGAAAAGGCCTTCGGCATATTCGTGTGTTTTCCTGTACTTCCCTTCGTTGTTCTACACACACACACACACACACACACACACACACACACACACACACACACACACACACACACACACACACACACACACACACACACAAAAAAAAAAAAAAAAAAAAAAAAAAAAAAATCAAGTCACCCACTGACTCACTCTCTCTGGCTTTCTCTCCCTATTCCCCATCTATCTCTCGCTCTCTATCCCCTCATCCTTCAACCTTTCCATCCCAGACTAAATAAAAATAAAATATTCGTTTTATTAGATTATCACCTGTTATTATCCCTTATTCTTTATCACTTTTTTTATTTATTTAGATTATTACCCCTTTTTCTTCCATCCAGGAAAATAGCTGCTCCAAAAACCAGTTCCGTTGCGTGACCAATGGCATCTGCATCCCTGCAACCTGGCGCTGTGATGACGAGGATGACTGTTCAGACAGCAGCGACGAGATCGGATGTGGAAAGGTACGGAAGAATAAAGGAGAATAAGAGTGGATGGAATAAAATGAGGTATAGAAAAAAGGGATGGGTTATTTTACGTTAAAGTGACGAGGATATGAGATATTTTGTTCGTATCTTGTCGTTGAGTAATTCATCTTGGCATTAAGTACAAAAAAAAGAAGAAAAAAGAAAGGAAAAAACAACAACATACACAATATTCACAGTAGATCGTACATCAAAATCACATATTATTAAGGCTGATAGACAACAGTTGTTTCTGCAGTTACAATACTAGAAATAAACAGCAAAATGAACCATGAAGATAGAAAGCTACGTAGAATACGCAGCAGTATGTAAACACACAAATCAACATATAATAATCAGAACAGAAGAGCAAAATAAAAATAGCTATGCATATGGCAGTAGTAGCAGGTAATTATAGATAATTGTGATGAATGGAACGGCAGCCTGATGATTGAATTTACGCTATTCATCATCTGAAAACATTATCAAAATTAATGGTACTCCTTCTTTATAATTGAAACAGTACAGGGAACAACTACGGTTTATATTTATTATCACCATTCATTGTTTATTACTGCAGGTACTGTACCACTGTGCTGTTAGTGGTAGCAGCAATAGTAGCAACAATGGTAGCACTAGTGGTAGTATTAGTAGTATTAGTAGCAGTAATGGTAGTAGTAGTAGAAGTTGTAGTAGTAGTAGTACCAGTAATGACAGTTTTAGTAGCAGTAATAGTAGTAAAATCTTCATTAGAAGCAGAAGTAGCAGTAATAGTACTAATACTAGCATTATTATATTTACTATTGTTATTAATAGTTGTGAAAGTAGTAACAGTATTATCATTGTTCTTGTTATTGTTGTTTTATACTTATTGTTTTGATAATGATAAATATTTTATTATCACTGTTTTTTTAACGTTATCACTACTATTATTACTATAATGGCCAATGCACTGTTTATTGTTTTTATTTTTATCCTCATCATTACTTCCATCTTCATTACTCTCGTTTCCACAAATGACCTATCCTAAGCTCCCTAGTGCTCCTGTTACCTCAACAATGCCACCAACAATAACAACATAAGGTATCCACATCTATCCAGTTTCATCCATTCCTCATCCGTGCCTTGCCTCTTTCTTATGCCGACCTACCCCTTCTTCAGGTCAGCTGCCTAAGGAACTACTTCATGTGTTCTTCGGGAACTGAGTGCGTGCCTGGCTTCTTCCGCTGTGACAAGGAGGATGACTGTGGTGACGGGAGTGATGAGTTGGGTTGTGATGAGGTATGTAGTGTGACGAGGAAAGTGAGGTTTTAGTATAGGAATTTGGGGGAGAGGGGTAATGTGTTTGGTTTATGAGAAATAGGGTGATATTTATGTACATAGATGGATGGATGCATATGTACATACAGACAAACGTACATACATGCTTACATACACAATATGTACACATCTGGTCATCTATCCATTTACTTAGCCCTCCATCCATCATTTCATGAAGATCCATCCATCTATCCATTCACAGATCCATCCATCGACACATACACACACCTCAATCTCTCTATAGCAGTGGTTCTGTAACACTTTGTATCATTACTTCTTCATTATTTCACTTCATATTTTGTGAAGTTGAAAGGAAAGAAGAAGA